CCTCCAATAAAGGATATCATTGCTCACCCCCCAAATATCCTTTCTTTAAGTCAGAAATAAGCAGATATTTTGCATCTCAGAAATGCATCTGTTCATTTCAGTTCACACTAAGTGTATTGTTTGTGCCTCGAGACATAAACAATACATTTTTGTGCCCATTCTTTAAGTTGCAAATTGCGCCACAATATTCTGCAAAGTGCAGATATTTTCATAAAAATTCATTCCAGTTCCTAGATATGTGTAGAAGTTGAAAACTGATAAATTGGAATAGAAATTTGGATTGGTTAATTTTTTTCTTCCAGTCGTAAAGTAAATGTCTGCTTCAAATTTTAATTAACTTCAGATGACTGCACTTCCAACAATATGGAAGTGGTTTACCCTTGTTTTCTTCCAGGATCTTTGTTGACTTCTCAGTCTAGCTATGGCCCTAATATACCCTGCTAATCTTTCATCCAAGCATTAAGCAAGACTAACTTTATTTGCCTTTTAGGCATCAGGCATTGCAACCTGCTGAGAACTTCCAATTCTAGTGAAGTGTGATCCAGATGAAGTTCACTAGTATCTCAGCAACTTCACTTTCATTAAATTTCCAATCATTATGGTAACAATAAATCACACTATCAGAAGTATAGGTTCAAATTTAACATCACTGGCAGAGTGGTAACAAGTATAAGGTCAACCATGTGCAGGGTGGTACAGCCAGAATTGTTATGGAGAAAATAATGCATTTCTTACCTCAAAATGTTAGGGTGTCAAGGACCTGGTAAAAAGGCCACTGAAGGAGGATAAGATCAAGGGACATAAAATTCTGCATAAAATTCTACATGGAAAAAGTGGACAGGAAATCATTTTCTTCCATTTCTCAAAAAAAAAAAAAAAAAAAGTAGGGCTTTGCCATCCAGTGAAGCTGATTCGAAGATTTAGAACAAGCAAAAGCAAGTACTGTATTTAAGTACTGTATCACAAAGGTGTTGTTTCCAAAAGGCATCTGAATTTCCTTGAAGAATTGAAGAAGTTTTTTAGATGAGAAGTGAAACGTTTTCAAAGAAAACACTGAGGAAGCTCAATTGCCTTTTGGAAAAAGCATCTTTGGGACAACCATGACCTGGATGATTGAGAATTTCCATAGACATGTATTTAAGATGGTGAACAGTTAAGCTGTGGTATTCATTACATGATCTTTAAATGGGAAACAGGTGTGTTCATGGAGGACAGATCTATCAAGGGTTATTAATCTTGAACCTCTCGATTAAGGCCAGCAAATCTCCAAATATAGTTGCAATGCAACAATGGCAGAAGAATGGCTTGTCTATCTCCTGCTTGTAAACAGCCCAGAGCATCTGGGTGGCCACTATGAGAAACAAAATGCTAGGCTGTGATGGGCCTTGCCTTGATCCAACAGGATTGTTCTTTAGTTCTTTGCAGCCCTTTGGTATTTGACTTGTAGTTTTTAAATGATTAGAAGTCAGCCCCTTTGAGTTTTGTCAGATTAGGTACAGAATTACTACATGCTGACTTGCCTTACATGTATTCTTATACTTTAGGTTTTTATGCTCCCCTATCCTCAACAGTTCTGAGTGGCTCATGACAATCAAAGAAATTACAATAAAATCATTAAAACAAAAGATAAGATGGCAAGTACAATGAAGGGAAGAATTTCACTCTTCCTTGCCAAAAGTCTGGGTGAGGAGCCAGGTCTTCACAGAAGAGCGAGGGTCAACTGGATCGGGTTGGGGGGAGGGTGGCTTGTTGTAGAAGGCAGGCTGAAAAGGTACACTTCCATATCCCAATAGATGACATTGCTTAACTGAATGAACCCAGAGCCTGCCAACTCTACAGGATTGAATTGGCCAGGCAGATGTTATAGGACATAAACAGTCCCTTAAATAGCTAGACCCTGAGCCATAATAGCAAGCCATCTAGTAAGAAAGATGGTGGCATTATAGAATGTGAAATTTGTGAATGGTATTTCTTTAACTGGTATAGCCTGCAATATCTTTGCCTCCAAGGGAAAGTGGAAGGTGGAGAGAGGTTGTTAATAATTTTTATGGGAGCTGACTGGAAAGAAATGTGATGCATGTAGGTGGGGGCAGGGAAGAGGAGATATATATGCATGGTATTTCTTACTATATATTTCCTACACATAGTAGGAAATAGTGAAAGGCATAACGAAGGAGCAAAATTGAGATTGTTGCAGTATTACTTTGAATAAGATTGAATTTCCAGGACCAGATTATTTAGGGTTCTCATGGAACTAGATGATAGGCTCGCTGAACTGTTACCTAATATCTTTTAAAAATCCTGCAAAACTGGTGAAATGCCAGATGACTAGAAGAGGACAAAATTATGTATATTCAAAAATGGGAGGAAAGAAAATCCAACAAACTGCAGACCAATCTGAGACTGTTACCTGGGAGGTTGAGGTAATGCTTTTCAGATTTGCAGATAATATAAAATTGTGCCATAATTAATGTCTTAGAAGACAAAATGATCTTGATAAGCTGGAAAATGAGCTATAAGTAACCAAAATAAATTTAAGAAAGATGAAGATCTAAGGCAACACAAGTCAGATGTAGAAGGGTAGGACCAATCCATACATGAATCAGTAATAATATTTATTTAGGAAATAAAATGTAATAGAAAGTTATAAAATATAATAAAGTGGCTCATTTCCATAAAGAAATATTTCTTGGAATAATTTTAATTACAAACTGAGTATGGGGCTGCAAAAAAAAGCCAATACCACTTTAGGCACCAACAGGAATATACTTCCAAATCATCAGAAGTAATTGTTCCAATCCATTCTGCTTTGGTCAGATCTTACCTAGAACACCAGGTCTAGCTCTTGGAACACTTAAAACAGATTCAAGGAAATCGGAACATGTTTACAGAAGGGCATTAAAGAAGATCAGGGACTGGGAGCAATAGCTTGGGAAGGCTATTTTATTTCCCTAAAGCTGTATTCGCATTATTTCTGGGGGAGAAAATTTTATATTACTAAAATCTCTTTATCATTTCGCAGATTACTTACTGTAATATTGCAGACTAACAGAATTCTCAATTTGTAGCAAATTTGCTTTTTATATAGATAGCATCTTCATTCTGTATTTCCATTTCTCATTACAACTTCAGGAACACAGCTGCTGCCCATTATTTCTAACTATTAAAGAAGAATTTGGAAGAAAACCTCCTAACAAGATTAGGCTGGAAAAAGAGTGAGAATTTAAGAGTGGGAGCCAGATTCATTAGAAGTATACACATTCTTGGCCTGTTTGTTTGGCAGTCTCACTACAGGAAGGAGGTAATATTTAGCAGATCAGAAATTCTTAAGATCAACTAATCTCATCCTAGGACATTTTTAATTGCTATTATTATTGTCAGTTAGCCTTATCTTCTTTTAATTTCTTTCCCTCCACTTCTTAAATAATTAATACTATTGTATTATCTATTCCTTTTTTTATTTATTTGTTGCTACCTCAAAATTGAATGATTATAAGCCATTTGGTGTTGACTCCTAGCAACACATAGGCCATTCTCTTCCCTCTGAATCTTCCTGAATCTTCCAGTTTCATTTCCTTCTCAGTTTCTGAGGTTTCTTCCAGTTCTTCAGGAGAGTTTCAGAGACTTGAGGAATCGCAGCAGAATGGAATTTAGCAAGTTCCTTATACTCCAGCACATACTTATTTTTTTCTTAATTTATAAAAATCAGTTTCTCTAACCAACCTTTTGCAAACCTAGCATGCCTCCCCTCCAGATCTATTCAGACTTCAACTTTCCTAATTGGAATTAGATCACAGGAATTTAAACCTCAACATATTTGTAGAATACATTTCAGGAAAGATTTTTAGTTTGCCTAATAACAAGTTATAGGTTAACAACATTTTCCTACTAAGTAAGGTAAATCCTCATAAATTTACATAATACTTAGAAGATAGACTACTACAGCTGGTCATAGAATCACAGAGATGATAGAAGTGATCTAGTCCAACTTTCTCGCGCCCAGGAAAAGATCCTTGTCATCTCTGTGTAAACCCTGAAGATTTCCAGAGGTGACTTTTCCAAAGGAAAAGTCACCTCTTCGTGTGCAGCCTGCTTCACTAACTAACAGCTTGTATGATCATGATATCTACCTAATATTTTGCTGAACCTACCATCTTGGGTAGAGAGCTATTGATTTTGGTTGTTTCCTCTGGGGCAACACCAATTAATTCCAGTGGATAACACTGGACAATGGATAATATTACAGTTATGTCTTTAATTTAGAATGCAGCTATCCTTTGCTCTTTTTTAAACTGTAGCTGTTTGTAGTTAGATGGAAGCTCCTTTGTCCTCTGTTGTCTGTATGTTATCTATTCCACAACTCAAGAAAGTGCAATTGGCTGAGTGGAAGATTCATTAAGAAACAGATAATTTACATAGAACTCAAGTCTTTTAGTTTTGATACTCAGCATCTACTTGGCTGCCCCATTGTCTCCTTCAACACTGATAATCCCAGCTAGTATGAGCATTGTGAAATAAATCCAGATGTGGTTGAGACTGGATTACGGCAACTATAACCTTTTTCTTTTGAAACATCAGCTGCTTGATTCACCAAAGTTATCCAGTGAAAGTTTTGAGTATACATGTGTATGTTTTTCTTCAACATATTCTCAGATGGTTTAGATTAAATTGCTTATTTTCTTATCAGATAAAATTCACTAAAGTTTGGCTTATTTGTGGAAGAAAATACACGTCCCACCCACGTCCCAGCCTTTGAAAGCTGTGTGAAAAAAGCATTGCTCTCAATCACTTCTTACAATTTATTTATTCTCTCTTTCATTTTGTTTTGAGGAGATGCCAAGAGAAAGGAGGCTGTTTCATTATTTGACACAGACTTTGAAGTATACGGGTTTAGATATGTCTTTCTCATGAACTTTCTCTTCTTGTGTCACAAAGTATCTCAAAGTGCAGCATTTAGCCAATGATGATTATGGCAGAAGCAAAGAAATGGAACCATTTCATTACTGATTTGTTTTATTTATTATTTTGTAACAGGTCATTACTTTTGTTTAACTACAGCTTTACCCATGCCTGGATAGACACCCAAGTGGAAATCTTTCAGGTCATTGTACACCATTGTTTTCAAGATAAGGACCACAATCTGTCTTTGAATGGCATGCTGAGAGCCACACTCCAAAAAGTTGGTAGAACCTGGACAAAAATAAAATAAAATAACTTCTTAATTAATATTCATATTATATTACTAACGTTAATATTAGTAAACTGATAATTGCCCTCACATGTTTCAGAAATTTATCCTGTCACTTTAAAAATTACAATTCAGTGACAATCTCAGCATGAATATATGCCTTTGTTAAACATCTCTGGTGAATATAATGCTATGGGATTCCCATTCTATAGCTTCTTTCCATGTCATCACAGTTAATGCTGTACTTACAAGCCTAGCATTACACAGACAAGACCAGCTGAGGCTGAGAATAGGAATGAATTGGTATATTAATTATGATCAATGCTATTTATTCAAAGCCTTCAGGCTCGATTTCAGGCATCTGCACACCATCCAATGCAGGTGTATCTACAGAATCAAGATGGCAATGGCAACTCTAATTGTGCAATCAAAGCTACACCCATTTTTATGTGTAACATATAAATATGGCTGGAGCTTTCATCACCGTCATGGCCACCAAATTAATTTTTTTTAACCACACCTGCAGACATTCCTATTCCATTATACTCTTCTGGAAGATGTAAAATTACTATTTTCAGATCTGAAAACTATAAATCAGCATTTGTGATAATTATGTGTATATTTAAAAAAATACAAATCAGGAAGGTGTCTGTAAAGGAATGTTTCCTGTTCTCTCAGTTACCTCTCTTAAATCAGTATCCACTGGACTCAGGAGACTGAGGAAGAGAATATTGTTGATAGAAGACCTGTAAGCCTTTAAAAAAGAAGAAGAAGATGATGTATCAGAGGAAACACTGGAAACAATTTTAAGCATAAAATGGCAGCAGATTAAAACTGAAGAAATAAATAATAATCTGGACACAGTAAATTAATGCAGTATAATCACAGAACTAATGTAAGACTCCAGGAGGCATCTAAACTTTATATATGAGGAGGCCTAGAGCAGATTTAGGAGAAAGTGATCCACAGTGTTGTGTCATCATTGGGGAAAAAATTATCTTGAATACCACAGCTGGTATTAACTGACAAACCTTTCTTACTCTGGAATGATCTTTCTCCAGAATTCCTATCCCATGGCTGCTATCATGGTCTCAGAGGCCTACAACAGAAGGAAATTGGTCACACAGTAAAAGCTTGCAGCTACAGAGCCTCTTATGGAGTTTGCTTGACATAAAGATGCTGCTTTTGGTGACAGGCCCATTACAACTGTAATATCTACTTGACAGTTAGGTGGGATTTTAAATCCTCTCAGGCTAATCAGGCTAAAAATAAATGCCTCTGAAGCTGTAGGCTTCTGCCAGTGGGTTACTAGGTACCTCAGGTATATGAATGAGTCTGTGTGCTTCACTCCATCCTGTCACTGTAAAATGGGGGTAATAATGAACACCTAGAAAGGAAATAAAGTAATGGTTTCCATATTTACTGTATATAACCTGGTGTAAATGCAGGAAAAAATGTTTACCACATAGTGCAGTTAAAGCCTTTTTTCCCCCAGAAATAGGTCCTCTTAACATATCTGGAAAGTGCATCTCTAGGTAGATAAGGGGTAATTCAGCCTGCCTTCTGCTTTATTCTAATGCTATGTTTGATCAGAGCTGACCAGTTACTACAAAGCACTTGCTGAAATCAGCAGGTTGGCACTGAACAACTAAATAAACAACTAAGACATGGACTTGGTGCCAATGGTCCATTGCTTCCGTATGCCCATACTACTGTCTGTGTTCATATCAAGGAAAATCTTTATATGTATGCCTTTGTTTTTGTGAAAGCACACTAATGAAGTATGTAATGAATTAAATTCAGCCCCTGTAATTCAAATTTAGGGGATTAATACCTTGATAAAGGAATGGACGGGTCATCCAAAATTCTGTTGTTATACCCCACAATCATAAGGTAGCCTTCCTAAAATCCTTATGGTGTCTGTCTCCTGACCTAGCCTATCTTAAAGAGCTGATATTAATCTTGAAAGCTTTTCAGAGTTTCTTCTGTCCCATCTCACACCAAATAGAATCAAAGCAGATGGAGAATTCAGCATTTCAGATAGCAGTCTGGACAAATCATTTCCTTCTTGCTATTTGCTATTCTCTGCGCATGGATTCTTTTAGGTGCAGAAACAGTTACGTAAGTGATATAAGTCTATATTGTTATACTAACAGTGCTGAAATGGGTTTGCCACTATGTCTGCTGTGAAAGCTAGACATACAGTGAAACCATTCCTCAAGAGAAATATATATAATATTTATCTGAACAAAATATTCTGAAATGGTTGGTTTACTTTTTTTTTTTAAAGGACACTGTTTTTCCCTTCTTTCAATGTCCCTCCCCCAACCAAATGTAATTTCTTATGGCATGTAGTTTTCTGAGTTGGGTAGGCTATAAAAACTGCAAGAGAAATAAAATTATGGTTGACTTGGGGGAAAAATACTTCTATAGAACTCCTTGGGTTTATCTCATTTGGATAACAAACTAGATATGACTGACATGCAGTTAACCCTTGGAACCCTCCCACACTGCCTTTTTTTTATGAACAACTGGTAAATTGTTGCATAGCAAATTGCTTTATTTTCAATCATACAAAATGACCTTCTCCTGCAGCCCTCTAGATGTCCTGAGACCACACTCTCGGCCAACACAAGGAGTTTTTGGTTTACATTCCTGAGAGCTGTGTTCCCTACCCATCTGGAAGAGTGCCAAGAAGATCTGGCCTGCTTTGAAATCAGACTAACAGTTGAATTATGGTATGGGGATGGAAAAGCTTTTTCCACCCTACTGGAGAGTAGTAAGTTTGCATAGGGGAATTAGCTGCTCCCTGCCAGTTATTTCCAAGTCACAGCTGCTTGAGACAACTGTCTCATGCCATCTAACGGTAGGACAAGCTGGTTACTAGGCAATGTGAAATTCAAACGATGCCAACGTGGAATGTTGGCAAATGTGCCTTCTGTCCTTCTTGAGCGTTGTATGAGAAGGCCAGGGCAGAAACTGAATATTTAATATTGTGAGGTAAGGATTGGTCCTGAGAATACCATAGTGAACACTGTGAGATGTGCAGTTTGATAAGAATGAGTTAAACTGATGCAGCTAACTGTTCATTTGAGTTAAACCATGGTACGGCTTTTATTCATATTATACAAGTAACATTGTCTGAGTAACAGGTCAAAGACAGTCACTTTGAGTTTTGTTTTTAATTCATGAAATTCCTTGCTGGAGATTCAGTGCAGTCCAAGGAAGTGCCGCTGATGCAATCGGCTTTGCATAAGGCCCTAGGCAAACATTTGAATCGCCAGGGTTGCTCAGCAACCTTCTTATCAGGTGGCTTAATCGCAATTACATAATCCTCTCCCATTGTTGCCTTCTCTTTCCCAGCCAAAGAACAACATACAGGCTGAAGACACTGACAGTGAAGTATTTTCTGTGGGAAATTTCAATCCTGTAGTGTAAAATTGCAGTTTAAAGCAAATATGCATTTCAGAGGAAAGAACAAGGTGCTTCATTAGAAATTTCCAGATCAGATAAAACTGGAATACAGTACAAGGAATTTTAAGCATTTTTACCTTCCAGATTATAAAATTCAATTCCTAGTGAATACACAAATGTGTCCATGAGATTTTCTTGGTAACAACAGAAACTATTTTTTTTCAACTTCTCAGTCTGACCTACAACCCAGGATAGGTATTCCATTCTATCCAAATGGTAACTATACCAGACCTGGCTTTGCATGTTGGCCTAGTTTAGCTAGACATTGCTATTTCCTGAAGAATGTTATGCTAGGTAAGAGTTTGCATCATAAATGAATGCAAGCAAAAAAAAAAAAAATCTGGCAAGCAAATGAACTGAGAATGATCTTTTCCTTCTTATTTATTACTTGAGATATAAAATAGCAACAGCAGAAAGTAAAAGATAAGATAGAGTAGCAATTAACATTTTTCTTCTGCATAAAAATTCAGTAAAATCTAGGAATATTTCTTGATCCAATGGCACCTTCACCTCATTTGATCTTCCATAAGGGTTTTTTCCCTAGGCAAATTGTACCTGCTTTCTGGTGTGACATAATCCAGTTGTCAGTAGATGGCATCAGTTAGCTAGAGCAAAAAAAGAAAGAGTTTAGATTTGCCAGCTTGCACATTGCAGCACTCATGACAAATCTTGAATGTTCTGAACAAGCAAGTGCGGTATTAAAATAAAAGGTTACCTATTGACATGGTATTGCTTGAATTGCTTTTTTGCTGCCAAAGCTCTCTGGAGTATCAATCAGATGAAACAATAAAATCAAATCAAACAAATCAGAGCAGAACAGAATGCTCTAACCTTCCTGAACCTGGTAGACTGCTGGAATGTTAGAACTGAAAGTCCCAGAATCCCCCACAGTTGTTGCTTGGGAATATTATGGCACAAGGTCATAAAAGGTCTTAAAAAATCAAAAACATATTTAGTTTGTGCTAAAAGGAGATCACTGGTGGGAAGAGAATTCTAGAGAGACAGTACCATAGTTGGAAGGGACCTGCCACTGAACATGCCTGATTCAGAATGAAATATCACTGGTAATGTCTAGAGCAAGGGTGTCAAACATGTGGCACACGGGGCGGATGCGTCATGTTCTGGCCCTGCCCCTGCCCAGTTTAGCGAAGGGGGAAAAGTCCCGATATGTCATGTGACGTTGCCGTGACGATGCGAGTTTGACACCCCTGGTCTAGAGAGTTTCTCAGTCATCCAGGTCATGGTTGTCCCAAAGGTGCTATTTCAAAAGGCAAGTGGACTATCTTTGTTTTGCTTGAAGACATTTTGCTTCTCATCCACAAAATCATCTTCAGTTCTGGAGGAGGGGGGAAGGAGAAGGAGTACTTGGATGAGAAGCAAAATATCTTCAAACAAAATGAAGAAAGTCCAGTTGCTTTTGAAAAAGCACCTTTGGGATAATCTCTGGGGATGATTTAATGGGGGATTTAATGGAGGTGCAGCACTGAGTTGGAGTAACTTGATAAAACTAAAATGAGTGAACTGTCAAGCACTGCTTTAATTTAGAAAGAGAAGTGCTCTCTGCAGCAAAGGGCAAGAGACAGGAGTACCCTATATTTAGAATTTTTTCTCTCTCTCCAAGGTCATAAAGCCTCAAAACTCCCTGCTCATTTAAAAAGAGAGAGAGCTTTTTAGTCAGGAAACAATATTTTTGATGGTGTCAGGAAAAGAAAGGACATTTGGTAATTCAGAATAATGTTGGCTACAGCTGTTTATACTTCACAACTGGATTACTCAACAGCAGTTTGGTTTTGTTGTTTTTATGGTCAATATTTCACTATTGCACTCCAGACAATGAAGGTTTTCCTAATTTTCCTGATATATGTTAACCATTTCAGGAAACAGAAAGGAAAAGTAACCAAATACCCTGCTTCTATAAATAGGACAAAATAAGGTGCTAGAAAGGACAGTGAGCAGTGCAATACTTCAGATTATTTGCGGGGAAATGATTTGAAGATCAGGAGGGTATAAACTCAGTACTGCCTGGAACTCATTAAAATAGCTGCATCTATTTTCAGGATTCAGTGGTCATAGCAGCTCTACAATCTTGAAAAATCATATGACTGTATTAACAAATTGCAGCAGGTATGGTTTTTGCATTCTGAATTTGTGTTTTGAAGTTCTTATTTCCAATTAAAGTATTGCAAAACTTTAAACCAAATCCATATAACATTTTTATAGTGCTCCCTTATGGAGAAATAAAATTATATTTATTATATTTATATATATTATATTTATAAGTAGAAAATTCTTGCATTGAGGAAAAATCTATTCTTTCTGCTACTAACGGAGAGCTGAGTTTTGTTTATTCCTCTAGTTTTTTGGATTTTTTCCCCTCTTACACAAGATATGCATTTGAAAATGAAATCTCAATCTGAAATTATCAAGAAAATTCCTATCTCACCTTGCCAAAACAAAACAAAACCCTAAACCTAACATGTTCCTAATGTACATTTCTTGAGTGGACTTGCTTCTTTAAAATATCTTGAAATACTCTTGTTTTGCAGTTGACTGCATTTTGATTTGGGCCTTTTCCCTAAAGGAAAATACTTAATTAGTGAAAAAGAAGAAATCTAAAGGCTTTCTTTTCTGTTTGCTGCATGAACAATTTATTCTAATGTACATTTAAAGTACCATCAGAAAATTGAATGGTCCTCAAATTATATAACAATCTTAGTATGAAAAACATGATACTTGCAATAAAGACTTGCATCATAGAAAGTTTCTGTTAAATACTTTGAACTGTCAGTCATGAGCCATGCCCTTATGCAAGGAACTTCAT